TCAAGGTTTTGTCTTCCCTCCAATCCAGCTGGTGATAGAACTCCTGAAGAACACCTGTTTAAACAATCTGTGCTCTTCCTACTATCACTCTCAGTAAACAAACTGAGAAAACTTGAAGTGTCAAATGATCAAAGAGAAAAAAGAAAAACAATGTTTCCAAGCCTCCAGCCTATAAGTGGCAGTGTTACTTCTTTTCCCTCTGTTGTTACATCCCTCTATATATTCCTTTTTATATCTTCTTTATGTTCCAAATTTAAAGAAAAAAATTCTTAAATGGAGAAAAAAACAATCCAATCAAGCATTATAAAAAAATCCATAGGCATAAAAAAGAAGAAAAAGTAGAAGAAAAACTAATCCATTCAGTTTAAAAAGTAGGGAACATTTGCAAAAATAACCATCCATAAAAAGAAAAATTAAAAAAGATAACAGACTAAGTTTAATGTAGCAATTTTAATTTAGCTTTGATTTTTTGGGGGGGGTAGTCTCTTTTCTAATAGTAAAATTTCCTCACCAATTTGACACGCTTTCTCTTTCCGCTTTCTTTCCATTCCAGAGCTGTCCCAACTTCAGCAGCTTCAATGGCTGCATTTCTGCTGTCAGAAATAAGAGCTTCTCCTGGATCAATCAGGGACTTTGTCGTGTCCCTGAGATCAGCAGGACGTACTCTTCTTTATCACCATCTCTGCGGGACGGTTTAGGTCCAAATGGACCGTCCAGCGGCAGAAATATTGACTGCAGTCTTGGAGCTCCAAGATAGCACGTCATGTCGTCACGACATCAACTCCTCCTCCCCTCATTATAGCAGATAATTTTGTGTACTACGCTTAGGTCAGATCATAGGCAGTGCAGTTCCAGGTTGTCCAAGCCCAAAATTTCAAGTGGCGTAAGGGATTCTATTGTTAGAAAATACTGTTAGCATAGAATGTGTCAGTTTCCCTTGGCTTGATTCCTATGTGCAAACAGCGATGTGTCCTTTATGTTTTTAGGGTCTGATTGTCAGTTAATAATAAAAGTAGACTTTTAGCCTACTGCAGTTATGCAGAAGCTTTCCCGTATAAACAAATAGGCCANCGCGGCTGCATTCTGGACTAACTGGAGTCTTCTAACACTCTTCAAGGGCAGCCCCAAGTAGAGCGTGTTACAGTAATCCAGTCAATATACATAAGCAATCCATAAAATCTCTATCCAGAAATCCAAATAGTCTATAACTATATCTCTCTTCTATTTTGGACTTTTTCTTCATATTTACTTCACTAAAAGGATGTTAATTTATTTTAAAAATATTAAGTATTCAGTTCTGGGTTTGTTTGTTTGTTTGTTTTGTAGATTCTGCTGAGCTTGTTCGTTGCTGTTATTCTAGACAACCTGGAACTTGATGAAGATTTAAAGAAACTTAAACAAGTAAGGTTGTTCATGTTGAATGCTATTTATACCAAAGCTGTACTATGATACATTCACTTTTCTCTTGATGCCATCTTCAGAAAGTAAGGTAAGAGCTGTGTATAATGTACTAAAACTGGATATGCCTAAATATTAAAGATCAATTGAAGAGGCAGGAGAAGGATATCCTATGATTATATTTGTTGAGCATTCAAGAACTCATTTTCAGTAGTGTTTAGCACAATACTGTATCGTATTTATCAAAATAATTACTTGAGAATCCAGGTGAGACTATTATCTCACATTTCCTGCGAACATTAAGCATGGTGCAGATGGAAAGGTAGACTATGGACCTGCCTGAGCATATTGCAAATACTGGTGCGCCTTCCTCCCCCTCCCTTCTTGGCCCTCCCTCATCATCAGGATGATCTAACTGCCAATCAACACTGGGCAGCAAGGGAGAAAGAAGATAAGATGGCTGCCTGGGAGCTCTGCAGCTACAGGATGCATGAGGAATTGCTTGAGCAGAGTCAAAGCCCAGGGATAAAAATAAAACCAATATTCTATTCAATTTAACCTTTATTGTCAATGCACAACATGTGTACAATGAGATTGACTAAGCTTCCCTTCGTGCACACACCCCCAACATAAATACATATCAATAACTTACAGTGAAAGAAAGAAAATCCCTAACCCAATAAATCATACTGACAACACACAATCCTCTATACATTTATGTGTATAACATATATTGCACGAATATGAACATGTTGCACCGGCCCTGCAAGTCTATCATACTACATACTTATGATGTTACATCGCATTCAGTAGTCTGACAGCCCACAGATCAAAATTAAAGAGAGGCTTCACTAAAAGGATGTTAATTTATTTTAAAAAGGCAGCCCTCAGTTCCTACAGCAGTTTTCTGAAGAATAAGGGAAATAAATTAGGGTTTCAACCCACCAAATCACACTAAAATATAGTGTATTACAAAAAAAAAATCTTCACATCTATGCTTTGGCTTTATCTTGTCCCTGACAATTATGATCCCAGAATAACATATATTTTTTATATTATGCCTAACATGTTTATAGTGAGATAGATATGAGACTGGAGTTTTTAGTCATTCCATCCTCAAACATTTTATATCAGACATTAAACAGAGTTGAGCCTTTTTAGAAATTAAATGGTAAGAATAAATCTGAAGTTTGCATGTTTTTCCTTTTGACTGGCCCCAATTCCCACTGCATATTTAAATCCTAGGATCAATCAAATTTTTACTTTATTTCATAGTGTGGGTTTTCATAGCTGGTCTTTATTGGTGAAATAACTTTTAGGTAACACCACATGAAAAAGCAAACAGTATGCAGGGGNTTGACATTGCAATACCTAGAGATGCGCAAATTGAAGATAAACAGCAAGAAAAAATCACAAAGTACCAGGATTTGCAAATTGAAGTTGAACAACTGTGGAAAAAGAAATCGTTTGTTATCCCAATTGTAATTGGAGCCCTTGGAGCAATATCTAAAGGCTACCTTGTTATCTGGAAATTTTAAATTTATCAGACTTGAACATTCTGATAGGCAATGAAGTAAAAAAAGAAATCTGATGAAGGGAAGGGAGGGAGGGAGGAGTGAGGAAGGGAGGGATAACCTTGTTTGAAATATAGAAGATAAGAATGGACCAGACAGACAGACACTTGTCTACAATTCATGATAACACAAAATCATTCCCCTTCCTCACATACAAAGTTTAATTACTACAAATAGTGATTAAACTTTTTTAAAATTCTACACGATATTATTATTGGCTACTTTAGACAAGACGTTTTCTTTGGAACAGTTCACTTAAAAGCACTTTTTCCTTGAATTTTCCTTCTGATATTTTGAAAAGTGTTCCTTTCAGAAAGTTAAAGCACTGGTGCTAAATATTGTTTCCCTAGATGTGTGGGGTTAGTGAGTTGAAACTGAAAAAACAAGGATTTTATTTTACTAGTACTCAGAGTCAATATCAGAAAATGTGATGCATTTCAAGAAGCGGCAAAATAGGAACCAGGTGTCAGACCCACTGATGAGGTCGGTATCAGAGTCAAGGGAGACACTGCAGCTTCAACTTGGCCTAACTAGAACAGAAACCTTTCTTGATCTTATTATGTTAGAAGAAGACTATGGCTAGACTGCCTGGTAGGAAAACCAAGACGGGCTTTCAAGCTGCATAGGTGATATCAAAGAGAAGTAACAGGGCAAGCTGGCTTTCAACTGTTTGGCCATCTTGCCTTAAAAATGTAGTAGTGCGCCCTCAAAATTAAGTTGTCTTTAGTTAAAAAAAATTACAGCCCTTCTTTTTTATTTATTTTTTATTTTTAAACAAGCACAAACAGACAGAACAAAAAACAAACATTAAAATCACCTTCCATTACAAATTATAGAAAGTGTGTCGGTTGATTACAAAATTTCGATGCATCCCTTCCATAGTCATCACTTACAATTNTGCTTTCCGGGTCCACTGGTGGAACCTCTTCTAACCGGTTCGGTAGATTTGACGAACCGGTTCTACCGAATAGATGCGAACTGGTAGGAACCCACTTGTGGTCCCAAGACTGTTAGAATAAGATTAGAAAAAATTATTATCCTCCAAATTCAACAGTCTTCATTATGCTTATGATTATGAAACTCATCCTCCAGAAATAACTGCAAATTCCATCCTCCTTTAGATCTGCAATAGCCACTATGGCTACTCACATGCTACCATACAAAATATTATAGAAAATTCTAGAAAAACTGAACTAATTTCTGTTGTTCATACAGTGCTGATAAGTGTTCCTACAAAAATGGCTATGCTAACAGTACAGGCTGTTTGGCTAGAAATTCTAATCACAAGTGATCTAACCATAATTTTAGCAAACTTTTAGCAAACTGTTTGGTACTGTACTATTATGAAGATAAAGGATTAGACTGGAATTTATTTTCCTCTTTTTAAAAATACATTATTTTTTCTACCCACACTGCAAATCACTCAGCAACACACAACCAGCGGAATGATATTGAATTCCGTTTTTTTAGCTTGTAGAATTTAAAAGGCTGCCTGTAATTGATGGCTTGTTTTAAGACCACAGGAAATGACTTGTCATTATCCATTAACAGCCACTTTTCCAGCTTTTTCTTATTTTGCTAACTTTAGAAAAATAGATGATGGGGCAAAATGTTTTGTTTTTCCCCTTTCCTTTTCTTTTAAAAAAGGTATCTGTTAGTTGATCTTCTGGGCATGAAATCTGGAATATTGCCTGAACTATCAACCTTTGCAGTAAGTTCCATGAATATCATCAATATTTTTATGCAATTTACACAACCATATCTGCTTGAATTGGATGTTAGATTTTTTCATGGGCAGACAGAATAGTGTGAAAGAAACTTAAGATTGTTTCCATGTGTTAAAAGTGCCACGGATAATCATCTTGTATGATATCTGAAAAAAAAAACCTCCAGTTTTTCAAGTCATAGGTCAGACATGTGAGTCTTGGACACATTTGAGAACACCAGGTCACATGGCGGGCAAGCCACTCCCACAAAGGAGACCACACCCACAGAGTAGGCTCAAAATTTTTTTGAAACCCACCACTGGTTTATATGTGTGATATTTCAAAGAGACAAACAACAACTTTCTCACCGAGGGTTACACCCTCTGATTTTTGATAGCGAAGAAGTCAAGCGAAAGGGGGAAAGAACAGGGGAAGGTGAAAAGGATATTTTAATCAATGAATCCACATTCAGATGTTAATGAAGGCTACACACCACCAGCAATTAAACACTTGAGGGGCATCATATGGATAAAATCTATGTACAGCAGGAAAGCATTAGCCATTAAGGAAAGTAAATGGCAAGCTATGGTACCTAATTCAACACTGATGCTAATTTCGCTGGAGTTCACAGTTTTCAATCTCTGTCTGAAGCCATCTGTTTGTTTGTTTGTTTGTTTG